CCATCTTCTCCAATTAGCCCATCTATTTATGCACAGTAAGTGATTAGCATTAACATGTTTGGCACATAACAATATTACAAAAATAAATCATACTTTTAATGTACATTAATTATTTAATATTACCTCTATAAGTTTAAATTAAATATACAATGTTATGCAATTCTTTTGAAAAATAAATCTTTGGTATACCTTCAATCTAATACTATGGTATGTTGTGTTTTTCACCTTACTTTCTTGAATTAAAATCAAAGTTTAAATTACATGAATGGAACAGACAAAGATGCAGATTTAATGGATTCAGTTACAATTTATTATTTCCATTGTTATCCAGAAATAAAACTGTTTTGAGCAATTATTAGATGTGTAGTTAGTTATTTATTGGAGAGGGTGGGTTTCCACATGCATTTAGACCGGTATTGGTCCATTGTGCTTCCCTCTATGATTTCTACCAGTCTCTATATCCTACCGGTACTGGTGCTTACCATCAGTCCTGCCCAGCCAGCGAGACCGGCTCTACTAGCTGACAGGTATCTATAATGCTTCCCCCATCTACCAGAGGTATTAGAGACTGCTGTTGGGTGGGAAACGTCCGTAATTTGGCTCAGTGACCTCCTTTGGAGATATGAGGTTCTTTTACGTGCCGTAAAGCTACGACACGGGACCCACGGCTTAAAGTCCCTCCCGGAGGACTTGTTCCCTGAATTTTTCCGCCCTTAAAAATTCGACGACCTCCGCAGGGTATTTGAACCCGCGTACTACGAGTCATGAGGTGGGAACGTTACCTCTAGACTACGGAGGCCGCTTATGAGATGTGTAAATATGTAAGTAGTGTGAAGGACAATAAATTATTATTGTAATTGCTACACAGATTGTATGCGAACTTGGTTTCTGATGCACAATCTTTCTTAAAGGCAACATTCATTGCAAAGGGGTTACTTCGTGACTGTAAAAAAAGTCACATAGTTGGTGGTATACATTTTTTTCTTCTTTCAGTTTACTATTCCATTATTTTCTCAACATACAAATGCCATTCTCAAGAGGAAGAGAGAAAACATTCTTATTATATTCTTGGAGTGTAAATGACATTCATAAGGGTTATGTCTCTTTTTGAAGCAAATTTTCTCTTGATTTTTCAAAAGAAAGTACATAAATCCTTGTAATGACCTGCAAAGATTTTTAAACCAAAATTATTTTATTCATACTGTGAAAGGAAATGGCAGTCCATTACAGTTCCAGAATTCAGGATTCATAATAAGGATGGTGAGTATAACGATTAGCAGTGATGAGAAACACAAATATCCATGCCATAATTGGGATATGAAATCATAACCATGCAAACTGAGGTTATGAGCGTCACAGTGAAGGGCAAAAGAGCTATGTCATGAGTTTGACTTTTCCAGGCAGTTTTACTCTTCTAGGCATTTAAATGGGGTTCCAAGGCCATGAAATGTTATTTAAATATGATTTTAAGTGATTAATGGCTATGCTGCCACTCCAGCAGTATTAGAGCTACCTTATAATTTTCTTCTGCAATTTTTTTGTAGTTCTTATGTCCAGCTTTCTTAAGCTCTGTTTCTTCCTTCTTCCTCAGCTGGAGAAGTTCTTGGAGTCTTCTCTTTTTCAACTACAATAGACAAATTGGTATAAAACAATTATTTGAAAAAGAAATGGAATACATGTCTCATCAACCTCTTGAACTTTCAACAACAATCGGCTGACAGATACTGTTTCTACCTATATGAGTTCCTGAACTAGAGGAAACAATACAGCAAATATAAACATATATGTATCACTACCTTCCCCCAAAATATAGAAGGATAATTCATATCAGTCAGTCTAATAGGCCCATTATTACTGGAAACCTTTTATATCTATCTACCTGAAGACATTTTTCTTTCATGTTCACTGATGAATTTTAAAATGGAGAATTATTGAAGTTCCAGCACAAAATTACATTTCCGTAACATACTGATCAAATAGGCATGCCGTTCTACTTGACACATTCATTATATAAATCAACTTTAGCAAATATATTAGTGACACCTTAAAACTATCAGCATCAACTTATGCCAAGTTAGTGTATCTCTCAGATGACTTGAATAAAATCACAACTGACTGTATCATCCATGAACAGAGTTGCATGAAGGGTCATTCAGATCATTAGGCAATATTAGGTACCTGGTATCTTTTGTTTTCAGACATATGTAGCATACACAGTGCATCCAAAATGTAATGAGACTCAATTCAAGTGGAATTATTCATAAGGAATTTGTTCCAGAAGGAAGAACCATAAATGGCAAATTTTATTTAAAAGTGACATAATAATTGTTGCAAAGAATTGAATACATACATACATACATACATACATACATATTTATTTCGTTCCAGAGATCTACAATTGGCAGTGCTGCCTTGAGATATAGAACATGTCAATAAAAAGTACATTTAAAATGATAAATTGTTAAAAATTAAATATCCAAGACATTTAAAAAGGCCACATATAATTGTAGTACATTAACAGTTGTAGAACACAAACAAGNCGGCTGACCTTTCCTTCTCTCTGAAGTTCCAAATTAATATGAAAGGGAAACAATTTCATACCAAAAATGTGACCATCCATCTCAAGGAGTTAACTTTGAAGGATTTTGCAGACATTTTCAATGATGAAGAGATGTGTAACAAGTGTGCAGAGTCCCACTGGAACCATTTTGAATTACTTTCGTAATAAATTATTTTTCTGAAACTTTTTTAAAGATATGTTGTCCCATTACTTTTCAGACAACAGAAAGTATTTTGATGATGAATAAAACTGACCTCGATATTTTGATGGATTTACATGTTTTGAAAAATTGAACTTTGGTACACTGTCCAGGCATGCACGCGCGCGCACGTGTGTGTGTGTGTGTGTGTGTGTGTGTGCATGGGGGGGGGGAATGCATGCATGAATGCCTCACTAGTACCTGAATGGTTTGATGAATTTTATTCATATTTGGCATTCAAGAGTGCTCCTATCACAGGTCAGCATGAGGTTAACATTCCATCTCCAAAAATGAGGGCACTTCACATGGGCCTCTAAACACACAGTGATGATGTTCTTAATAATGGCTCAAAAGATTTTAATTAAATTCCAGAAATTTATGCCAACTATCTCCTTACATAAAACTGCATAGATGAAATCCTGAGATCATGCACTTGGGACTAAAATGTGAAATGTTGATTTTCTTGAAACTGCCTTCAACAATCAGAGACATTTCTTTGCTTGGTATATTTTTTTATTTTATCCTTCTTCTTTCTCTATGCCTGTATTCACATCAAACTTTTGTGTAAAACACAAGGTAGTAATGAAGCTGGCCAGATTTAAGCTACAGTAGTTCATGAGGTTACAGCTAATCTCTGGAGCATAGTACTGCCTTTACTTGTGTTCACAGGTTTCACTGAAGTACAGTTATGTCTGCGAAAGTACTTTAGCAGAAAGAGGAAATTGCAAAATTTGAGATGACAATGATTCTGATATCAATTTTATATCCAAATCAACCACTGAGTACCCCACCATTTCAATCCTTATTGCTAATACTGCACTGAAATAACATCCCAAAACAGTCACAACCCAATGGGGTACATGGAACACATTACAGCCCTGAACTTAAGCAGTAAATTGTTAACTAATCTAATCTGCATGTACAACAGCACAGCTGCCAAAACCAAGCACAATTTATCAATATAAGAAGTTAAGAGGGGTAGTCCATAATAATTATGCTACCATTTTGACCAGGATAATTACAACAGTAATGTTTAAATATTACAGAATCCCTCTTTGACAAGGACACCATAGTGAGTGGAATCATCTATTCAAACCACTGAAGAATATAAAAACATGCTTCCACCCAAATTCTGAGCAGCTGATAAATACGCTGACTTTCCAAACAGCAGAAACTGCAGATGCCCCAAGCAAAGGAGCAGACACAACAAAGGTAAACACATAGTAAATCTTTGATTATAACAAATATACTCATGGCATGGTGGGGTGAGGGAGTGAGGGAGGGAGGAAGGGAGAGGTAAGATAGGAGAGAGGGGGATAGAATTGGCCTCAGAGACACATTAATCTGGGCTCATCATGATGTAATTTCTCATCTGCAAAAGTTCAATTAGACAAGATGATAAGAAACCACAAATTCATTCAAATTCTGGTTACATAAATAATAAATACCATGCAAGATTTTGCAGAATGAGTCTTACAAAGAGCATCAAGACAGAAACAAGATTTGTGTTTTTTTGTAGAGTTCCTCTATGTTCTGGTGGTTGCTACATTTGGTCTCATACCCTCAGAGTCTAAAGATAATGTAAAATGTTCATATTTCCCTTTACAAAATTTGTGCCATATGTTTAAGTTTGTTATTTAATGATGTTGTCAGTATCTAAACTGTACAGTGTCTATAATACTCGTAGGTTTGTTAATTGATAGGTGGAATGAGAATTGACAGAGGAAAGTTAAGTACTCAGAGAAGAGCTGCACCAGTGCCACTTTGTCCACCACAAATCCCACATGACCTGACCTGGGATAAAACCAAGGCTGCCATAGTGGGAAACTGGCAACTAACTGCCTGAGCAATGGCATGGCCTTGTACCATATGATATATTATCTTCAACATAGTGAAACCTGCACCTCATGCTTAACCTTTAAACGTCAAACTTTTAAAATGGTGGTAAGCTTGAGCTGGCTGGAGTTTGTTTAAATGCCCATTGCTGTTCTGCGTTTAAATGTCCATTCCTGTTAGGGCACTTAAACAATTTTAAACATTGTGTTTAAAAATGCTGTATATAATACAATTTTTATGATGAATGGATGGAATTAACTTTGTTTGTATCAGCAAAGAACATAGTGTCACAAATTTTTATACAAAGAGTTATATTATTTTCAATACAGATCTATTTTCTGTGCATTTATAGTGAAATAAAATTCTGCAGTTTCATTTCAGCTTATATATACATCAAGCAGATAACAACAAAAAAGGTATGTACATTAAATTTTACTATATATTTTTAACACATTAATCTACAGAATCTGCAATAAAAGTGCTGGCTCGTGGATGAGTTTGGGCATAACTTATATGTATACTATTTTTGTTGTCATTCACTTAGGTATCATTTTAATTCCTCTATTGGGGTTTTACTCAAGTCTGCCTAGAAATTACTACATTTAGAAATATATATTTAGGACTGTGCATGTGCTTCTACTAGTGGCGTGTGCGCCACTTCCACTAGCGGAGTTTAAATGCCCGACTGACCAAATCAGGGTACTTTGGCCATGATGACCATACTCATCACTGGCCCGATCAGGGCACTTTGGACGTTAAAGGTTATATCAGACTGAAGTAAAAAAGTTTTAGTTTTTCAAAAAACACACAAAACTGTCCTTTTCATAAAACACTATTTTCACAAGCCATCACTCAAGGTGGGAAAACTGCAAAACAACAGTTTTAGTCTTTTCATTCACTGATGATACCAGGAATCTTTTAAACATATCTATGTCTCCAGTATGGACAACATAGATAATTTCATGTTTAAGTTCCAGTATACATATGTAACAAAATTTCCTCTTACTCTACTTCTTTCAATGTTTCTACTTTTATGCAAGTCACCTATCAACAAAACCTCTTCTATCTCTCTTCTCAAAGCTCTTCCTCCCGTCTTTCATCCCAAGTTCTTCCTTCTTCCTGTGCGACATTTTTTCTGACTGTTCACAACATGATCAGCTTTCTTATCGGACACCTTCCTTTCAGTTTCATGCCCAAAACTTTCTTTGGATTTGCATATCCTTAACTATGTGGTAAACTTTTCCTACAGTCTTTATTCTTCCTGCAATTTATTCTTTTACTCTTCCATTTGTCATTATTTTATTGCCTAAACATTTAAAATTTCTATGCATATATAATGTTGGAGAATTACATATTTAAGATCTGTCAAAATGAGGCTTACCTGGGATTTCTCCTTCAGTGTCTGACGCACCAGGTAACCACGACAGTATGCCTAAAATAAAATATGTAAATTAATATTCTGAGTACTTACAATAATTCTTAAATAAGAAGTTGTATATTTTACACTAACATTGCTGCAGGGATGGAGAGTGATGGGATTGCACTGTCTGGTCTGTGTACATCTCCTGTTCGATTCAACTTTCAAGACCACCTACACCCTTCTGGAATGTTCAGAAAGCCATCCAGCATGAAGTCCAAGGTCATTTCCTATGATATAGCGCTTTCACCATAAGTGATGTGTCTATATAAAAGGCAGAAGTGGGTATGTTTGTGCAGTGCAGTTGGGTTGTGAAGAAGAGTGGAGTACTGAGTTTACAGTGTTCAGTTCAGTGTTGTTACAGTCAGTGAGAGTGTGAGAAAGTCAGTAAGTGAATGAGTTTGTTAGCGAGCTGCTAAGTTTTTCAGTAGACAGTTCAGCGCAGTGCAGCTCAGCAAAGCAGAAGTGAACGCAGTACTGTGACCAGCAGTGCTGCTGTAAAGTAATGAGAAAACAAAGAATTGGTCTGGGGATCACTAAGTGGCTAAGGACAGTGGGACAGTAATTGCTCAATATATCAATAACTGCTAAAACATGTTGTTCTATTATAAACATCTTAAATTTAACTTTAATATTCCATGTCTCTTGCAAGATATCTGTTCCCAGATAAACTGATGACCTGGGGACATTTTACACAAAATTGATGTTAGTCTGGAAAATCCTGAAATTCCTTTAATGAAAATTTCAAACAATTAAGGACAAGTTGTATGCCAATCTGAAGTTATATACAGTATATTTACCAAAAGCATTCTCTGCAAATTTGCTTTACTTATTGGTATTAGAGTAATAGATACTCCATGAAGCAGGATCCTTCTTGGGGACCTAACAGTTGCTCAGCTAGTAGAGAAATCCCTGACTTTTATGGAACCTAAGGTTTCATCACTATGTTTACAAGGGCTTGCTACCACTGGTCCTTAACTTATGCCAGATGAATACACTATGCATCCTCACACCCTATTTCTCCAAGATCTATTTTAAAGTTATCCTTCCAGCTGGATCTCTCAAGTAGTCTCTTCCCTTCATGTTTTTTCTAACCAAAATTTTATACAATTTCTCATTCCTCTTGTGCATCCTATATGTCCCAACCATTTCATCTTACGATTTGCTCGTCTTAATAACATTTAAGTTTACAAATTATTAAGCTGATACTGCACTGCCTAGTCATAAATTCTATCACTGATAGAACTAAATATTATACTACTGAAAGACATAAATTACTTCTTCCTGGTTCTTCATTAAATACACAGCACACTGTAAAATATTTCAAATTACATTTCTACTAAAAGGTTACATCATACATAATTTCTGTATGAACAGTTCTAAATTTAACTTATTCATTTTCTTCTCTTTATATATGCCCTAATCACTCATCATACTTTAAGTTGAAAATCTGACACTTCATCATACTCCACAGCATGGATTGCATTCAATATAATACATTCATCCTACAGTACTGTGGCATACAGTCTCATTGCTGGACAGAGACCTCAAAAATAAAAACCAGTACAGCTGTGGAACCGCGAATATAGAATTGCAACTTTGTTTGAGCCAGATATGATCTAGCAAAGATTCACTCCAGAATTATTCAATTCCTCTATCTATATACCATATTTCAAAATTTTTAATATTTTACAATTTTAATAAATTAATATTTAATACTAACAAATGCCAATACTGTCATCCACCAGAAATCATTGTAAATATGGGCCCTTATAAGAAGTAAGATGGTTTGCAATTCAAAAGAGCATTTGTTAAACAGTTGTATTCACCTGATGATGACCAAAAATGGTCAAAACATGTTGTGATATTAATAAAATAAATTGAATTGTATACATTCTTTGAGTGGTGTTAGACGGAACAAGCCTAATAGACTAGTTTGCAAATATGCAACAAGATGCGCTCTATAAAGATTGTGCCGAAATATGTGTCTATATATAAGCACATTTATTCACACACACACATGCTACAATAACAATAATACTGTGCATGACTTATTTCTGTTTCATATATACTCACAGGCAGAGTCCAAAATCTGATCCACCACAAACAGAGATTTTATTATATATAAAACATTCCTGTAATAACTTTTCTAATTATTAATTACTTGATGTGTCTGACTAAGCCAATGATTTTGTGTTCTCAGTAACCCACCTGGAACTTCAAAATATGAGAACGGATATTACTGAAGCTGTGCTTGAGGTTCCTTGAACGAAGCAGAGCCTGGAGTCGAAGGTAGCCTTGCCTCATCTTCTGGTATTGCAAACGAGGACCACGACCACGCCAGTATTTCTGCAGTGACAATGCAGCTGAACGAAGTCGCAAGAATCTATACAAACATATACAATTTTATATTTTCTATGTTCAAACAGTTCACTGGGTGAAACCACAGAAGACATATGGTAAATGAAATATGATGAGATTATTAGTGCAAAATGGTATATTTTCATACAATAGGTTCCCCACCAACACCATGAAAGTTCTACAAGGGTCATACTGAAAGTCAAGAGCAACAATTTTTGTAAAGTAATATGCTTTATTATTGACAAACCAAATACACCACCTCAATCTACAAACCTTTATTTATTTTTCCACATAATCGCCACTTCTTTGTACACATTTCTCCCAGCGTTCTGGGAGTTTGAAAATTCCTTTTCTGTAAAATTCCGTTCCAGCCACCCAAAGACACTGACGCACTGCTTTCTGAATTGCCTTCCTTGTCTCAAAACGTTGTCCACTCAGCTGAGCCTTCACAAATCCGAAAAGATGGTAGTCACAGGGTGCCAGATCAGGGCTATAGGAGGGGTGTGGAAGAACTTCCCACCCCATCTTTGCAATTGCTTCCAATGTGAGGCGAGCAGGGTGGGGGCGAGCGTTGTCATGCAGGATGACAGCAGTTCTGAGGTGATGGCTTTCTGCTGACCTTTGTGGTCTTCGGTCAATAACCATGGGATCCAGCAAGCACAAACTTTCCTATAGCCCAAGCTTTCAATCATCTCCTGTACTGCACTGTGCCCTATTCCAAGTTTTTGGGCTATTGTGTCCACAGTCACACGCCTGTCATCTTGAATGATCTCATCCACTCTTTCCTTGTTGAGTTCAGTTGAGGCTGTTCGAGGACAACAGCTCCAAGGCTCATCTTCGATGCTGGTGTTCCCATCTTTAAAATGTTTCACCCATCTTTGAACACTGCTCGCACCCATGCACACACTTCCATAAGCACGCTGAAGTCTCTGGTGAATTTCTGCAGCAGGGATTTCCCCTTTCACAAGAAATTCGATGACAGCACACTGGCGAAACAACATCCTGTTGTCGGCCATTTTGTTAGGAGTGATACTGGTCACGTGATGCAAGCTATTGACGTCACAAGATACTCAAGGTTAACACAACAGCTGGTTCCACCTACCACCGTACTCTCTTTCGTCTGCTGTTCCCAGGCTGCATGCAAAAAAAGTTGCTCATGACTTTTGGTACGAACTACGTACTATGTTTCCCAGCCAACATATTTTCAATATCTGTATGCAGCTTACCCCCATATCCTAAACAATATTAGAATCAAAACCAGTTCTGAAAACTACTGAACCTTAATGAGATAAAATATTATAATGCAATAATTATTAATATGATGAATAGTTCTTAAGAAAATCAACAATGTTCAATTGGACCTTTACATAGGGTAAAAGTTATATGTAACAATGCTTAACCACTGCGATAACAGTGGAGTTGCAACAACAATGGAGTCATAACAATGGGTGTGACAACAGTGGATCCCACCATCTGTCCCAAGCAGCGTGTAAGGAAGAACATTGGTAAAGGAGAGACAACCTGACAAAGATAGTTAATTTTGCTGCTACCTGAAGGGGTTCAAAGTCCAAGTCAGGCTATTTTCCCATTACATCATCTGTAAGAAAGGCACTGGGTCAGTGACAATGGAATGGTGACAACAATGCATTCACCAGTAGGATCCATGCGGTACAGATTAAAAGTACCGAGTGATTGATCTGATGGCTGTAGTGTTGCACGAGGGTGTGTAATAACAGATTATACAGTGCAGTTCCAATGCCAAGAATAGGTAAGTATTTATTTAATTGTCTTGCAAGTTAACAGTGAAACCTAACACAATAATGCCCAAACCTGAATTCCCAATGAATACATTAGCTGAGTATCATTCCTTCCTCAACGTTTTAGTTACTATATATTGTGATACTGGCAAGAAAAGCAACCACATTCTGGCAAAGAATGGATATTTTGCTAGTCATTAGATAAAATAAAAATATGATCAGGAATGTACCTCTTCCGATATACCCATGTCCGGACACTCCTCTGGAGCACCAAAATGCTCTTTGTAAGAACTCTCTCCCTCTCCTGCTCCAGAAATGTATCATGAGCATCCTTCAGGAATACTTTGTTATGTCCCAGCTGATAGTCTTGGTTCCCCAGCACTAGATGACAGATTTTACTTGATGCAGCTTTACAGTCAGTCTGTAAATTAACAGTTCAAGATCATAATTTTCCATATTCTGTCAAAATGTTATAATCTTAAATTCTTACACTTAACATTCTGAACAGCAGTCTAAAATTATGAAACAGTTCCAGTCAGAACAGAATTATACATAATTACAAACAAACTCTCAAGTGAGAACAAGAATTTCTGTGTAGGATCTGAGGTTATATTAGTGGTGGGTGTGCAAACTTGTATCTTCTGGGATATAAGGCCCTGCAGTTCCATGAAAGGCAACATATATTTCAGGAGAACACACTGTCTCCAATATCAGGGTTGAAAAGTAATCCATGCAAGAAACCAGCACAAAGCAGCAGCAACCACCACCAACACCAACCTTAGGTCTTTGGTCCAGTCAGTGTTCCAAACCATCTTTTTCTGTTTTAACAGGCATGATCTTATGTGCCTTATGTTCCTCCTTATAGCTGTCATGGAAATGCATTGTTAACTACTTTTCCAGCTCCCAGACACATTACAATACATAGCTCTCTCTTGGACAAGAAACTAGACTGAGCATCCTTCAACTAGAATTTTGCTGTTGAGGTATTACAATACATAAATTGCAACATATGAGTATTAGGAATACTGATACTCCACAGATTATAATAATGTTCAAATATTAATGTTAATACAGTACAAATATCTTTTCACAACTGCCTTCAGAAAACTGCCAAACAGAATAGAGAACTTGATTTCTCCAGAAAGGCAGAAACCTGCCAGACTTGAGAATGCGTGGGTAACGAGTGTACAACAAGCAATGGAAGTTATGAGAATAAAGTGATGGAAAACAGACTACATGAAAGTGAGACTGAGAAGCAAAAGACAGCATTAGCCATAAAATGATTTATGTACAAATTATGCATAAACCACACAATATATAATAAGTTTTTTTTAAGATCAGAGCATCTAAAATGTTATGGGTATGTGCTGGCAGGAGACCATGTAAGACTGCCGATATTCAGGAAACAGGACATGTTAAACACAGATAAATATACTAATACTCATCAATAAATTAAAATACACAGATATTTAATAACACTGAGAATTTTCACATAAATTCACCTTATGTGCATGAGGAGTTCCTGGCAAAAGGACTCTGTATCTCTCAACAAACTCTCGGAATGAGTGACGGATTGGATAACCAGCTCTTCTAATTTTGGTGGTTTCCATCATACCAGAGTAGCGGAGCTGTCTGCAGCACAGGCTTCGATCAAACACCTTAACACAAAGATACATGCTATATATTTAACACTTCGCGGACTGGTGATTTAAATATTTAAATCACCCTGGGGACCGGCATTTTTAAACATACTACCCTAACTTGTGCACTGTTCACTTTAAAAATTAATATAAAATCTCCTAATTTTCACGAGGGTACTTTTCCGCATATCACTCAAGAGTCGCCCTGGGGGGTCCATATGAGGCCTTCGTGGGGTGGGAGTTGATGGGCCCGGTCGTACTAAGTCTTTGTGTGACCCTGGTTCTGCCACCACCATTCGGACTGTAGCCCAGGCTTTTGCCACATTCATCAGAAATACTTTGTATTTCAATTTTGAATCAGGGTTTAGATTTTTTTTAGATTTTTTGCTGTCCCCCCGCAATGTTATTACCCGCATTATCGTCGGAGCTACTGTCACTTTTACTGTCTGTGGCCACAATTCTTTGTTGTCCTCTGTCACTGTCACTGTCTGAATGAAAATTAGTCCATTACTATGCGTCTCACAGGGCAGGTCAGCTAGGTCATCGGAGGAGAATTTGTCCTTGATCCATTCTCCCCACTAGCTACTGGCTGATACACACAGCTTGAAGAAGGCAAAGCATTTTCCTTTATAGTCGGTTAAGTAAACAGCGAGGTCAAGTTACCGACTGCTAACTAAACATTCCAGAGTCTTATCATGCATCTGCAGGTGGTTTCGTGCAATGTAGGTGGCGCCAGGTGATGTATAGTGTGTTGCAACTTATCGTGTTCTAAAAGCCTGTTAACACGCGAACGGTCCGCCATGTTTAAAAGCGAAAAACCGTTTAAAGGGTGCGCGGTCCGCAAAGTGTTAAGATGTAAACATCAATGCTATATAGGAAATCAAGCAACTACTTCAGCTAAACATGGATAATGGTGTGTAAAAAAATAACAATTATAATTATTTCAGATATTTTCCAATGTTTTTTGTTTTCTCAAAACACAACATTTCAGAAACTGGCTCTATTTATATCATCAGCATAAGAGAAAAATCCCCTACTTTACTGGGCAAGTTAGAAAGAACCAGTCTCAATCACTGTCAGGTGACTGAGAATAGATCCTTCTAATGGGCCCTATAGAGCAGGAACCTTTCCTCTTATACCTGACAATGGAAACAGATACAGTTTCAAAAATACTGTGTTTTGAAGAAACTCAGAATGGACAATGTCCAGAATAACAGTCACAGTTAAGCAACAGCTGCTGGGCTAGTGACTGGGTACAGGCCGCTTGAGATTTCATTCCTGGCGCTGGCATAATCCCTTTCTTAATCATCATATCTTAGTGTAGATGTGATGCCCTCCCAGACACTTATTCCCAGGCATTAAGGGGGCTGGAACGTGAAAATGACCACTCATCTTCATCTACCACCAAGGCTAAAAATGCCTGGAGCATCACCTACATTGCCTTCATACCCCTCTCTCTTTCCTTTGCTTCCAGGATTATTTCATTTTACGCATTTTAATAATTATATTTAATGTATTGTATAAAGAAACATACCTTCGGTTTCTTAAGAGTGTTAGGTTTTATACACCGCACAAAGAATGGATGGCAACTGCTTAGTGTCTTCATAAGCACATCAAGTGATTTCCTGAACTGTGCAGACAGGGTCATGGTCCGCTTCTTTGTGTCGTGCTGGTTGAATGACAATTCCTCAATAAACAGATTCTTCAGGAACTTGTTGCTAGCAATGTGCACCAACTGTTTCAAGTCTGTGCTGAATGAGTCTCGGTTCTTTTCCAGGAAGCCTATCATAAGATGTAATTTTGTACTATGTCAAATATACAAATAAGAATAATGTGTACATTTAATTTCTTTAAGTTGCTTTTGATATATAAAAAGGTAAAAAAGGTAAAGTTATCCCCTGTGAAGGCCCATAGTGTTGTGAGAGGTTGAGGCTCCCACACCTTCTATATATTTGGGTCACAGATGGCGGTAAGGCTGTCAGTCTTATGTGCCAACCATCCTTTAACCCCTATGAAGATTCCTGGTACTCGTTTCTGTTAGAGGCTGAGTTGACTACAGGGCCACAGTGCAGTTGGAAAGATTAGGTAAACTGAAAAAAAAATCCAATGATCTCATCAGGAATTGAACCCACGACCTTCCTGTTTGTAGCACAGTGCCTCAACCAACTACACTACCATGTACCTTGTTCTTAATACATATTTATACCAACTAATCACACAGTATATGGCAATGCTTATGTGCAGTCAAGTAGTCAATGTATTTTGAATGTTGCATTCAAGAAGTAATGAAATTATATGTACATTTCTAAAATGATATTGTACATTCCTTCACAGGGGCATGCAGTAGCATAGTTGGTTGAGGCACTATGCTACAAGTCGGAAGATCATGGGTTCAATTCCCAGCAAGGTCATTGGATTTTTCAATTGACCTAACCCTTCTAGGCACACTATGGTCCTGAGGTCAACTCACCCTCTTTACATAAATGAGTACCAGAAATCTTCCTGGGGGTAAAGAGCGGGCAGTACTTATGGCTGACAACCTCACAGCCATCTGTGAGCTGACTGTCTAGAAAATGTGGCAGCCTTGATACCTCACAACCCTATGAGTCTCCATGGCCTGTTACAGGGATAAATTTACCTTCTCCTTACATTCTTTCACAGAATTAACAGAAAATCTGCATAATAACCCTGGCATGTACAAGGACAATTTTCAATTGTTCAGTTTCAGTACTGAAATGGCAAAGAAAAAATTATGCCAGACATTTTGTACATACAATTATTTTAAAATCACACAAACCTTCTTATGGATATAAGTTAATCATTCTTCACATATTCACCAGTGAACTTTCAACCACTTAGATTAAGAAGCATCAGACTGTTGGAGGACTGTGCAAATAATGAATTGGGAAGGATCTGGAAAGAAGCAGTTGTGGCCAGTAAACTGATAGGTTGGACTGCTTGGGCTCAATCCTAAGATAGGCATGGGATTTCTTTCCACAACTATGCCCAGATTGGTTCTAGGTCCCACTCAGCCTCCTATTCAATGGGTACAGAGGTCTTCTTCCCCAAGGACAAAAAAGCTGAAGCATATAGCAGACCATTCACTTCCAGACGATGCTCAGTTCTATAAAGTGTGGATATTTACCTCCATACCCCAATACCTCTCGATGCCATGGTGCTCAGGCATAGGAGCAGTTTTATCTTTATTCTATATTCCTGTTTTTTGGAGCACTGTATCACTATCATCAACACAATATTTACCTTTTACATCATAGAACACTGCTCCAGCAAAGTGACTCAACCCAAAAGCTGGTATTTTGTCAGACTTAGGTTTCAAGTAGTTCTTATTGCCTTCATGTGTCTTGTGAACCTTAGCTAACATGGTTTCATCAGTACCCTGAAATGCAAGTAGCATAGATATACTGAAAACCATATGCTACCAAGAAGAACATCAAGTATATACAACATCTTACAAGAAATTCATTGTGATGATGTGAACTGCTTCAGGACAGAACACAATGCTAGGCTTTCATGAAGAACTTTCAACAGGCTCACAAGGAACAAGTCTAAAAATTAAAAAATCATGCTTTGATGTATCTCTACAAAAAGGATTACCAGTTGGTCAGACTTACATATGTAACTAACTCTATGCACTATAGTCCTTCTATAGAAGCTGACAGTCACCCAGTTGATCATGAAATTCCCTACATTTTAAGAAACCTGTGTTCACAACAGTCTGGCACTTGACCTTATATGGGGAAACATTGATTTTATGTTTCTGAAGCGACCATTTTAAATGAATACAGAAACAAGGAAATGAAAATTTAGTTAACTATTGAAATTAGATACACTAAATTAATATTGTATTATTTGTACATTCAGAATGTAATCTGGTTCAATGTATTGTATCAGAAATGTAATGCAGTTCACTGCTTCCACATTCCATTAAAGTAAGCTGTTGCTGCTTTGCTTTTTGCTGCACCATGCAGCCATTGTGTTATCATCTACATCGATCTTCATGAGGTATTTTCTCAATGTCAGTGGCCTCCAGTGTTGACAAAAATATTTCTCAAGGCTTATTTTTTTTCCACCATCTTCCTCCTTCCCTTCCTCTGCCTCAGACACATCACATGTACACTTTTCAGCCATTATTTTTCTATGGTCTGTACCTCACACATTACAACATCATTATCACAGGATACATAATCTTGAAATGATACACCTGCTTTCAACTGATCCCCAGTCAGCTTTGGTTATGTTCAGTTCTGTTGCATGGTCACCATCACTGGTTTGATTTAAACTGAATCTAATTTCTGAAAACAGTTCATTGTTTATGTGTGACACAGCCCCACGATCCCATAATGAAATGTTGTGCTTCCAAAACATTTACCTTCATGAGTGTTGTTGCATCATGAAACAATCTGTGATCAATCACAGAACTAGTTTTCATTGCAAGCTGCTTGTGGTAATAATATTTGAATGACCTCATCATATTCTGGTCAAGTGATTGAAGAATGCTGGTGCAGTCTGGGGGAAAAACATATTTTCACGTTCTTCAGATAACTTGTCCCTTGGAGATGAGCAATACACTGACCAATGAAAAGTAAAATCTTTCTGTTTTGAAACTCATTGTGACATATAAGGCCCTACATAGTAAACAAAGATGGGCTCTGTAACCATGCCTATCTGTTGGTTATATATTTTGTGACAAAATTTTTGATAATCTAAAAGCAACAAGGGGTTTCACTCTTCCCAATAATTAATGATGGGAGTCTGGTGGTCCCATCATCATTGTAGGCTAACAGAATCATTATCCAGTCCTTGGGAATCTTCCCACCATTGAAAGGATTCCATTTCAAATTAAGTATCTTGTTAGGTAGAAGCCTGAAGTACAGCCCAGTGTCATCAGCATTAAAAATGTTCTGAGGTTTGTAAGCATTGATAATTTTGACAAACTGTTCCCTTCTCCATTCTCCAACTACTGAAGAGTCTACACTTCTGCATGATCCCAATACAGTTTTGTACATACCACTGTGCCACTACTGGAAACTGATAATCCAGCCACTAGAAGCTTTACAGTCTTAAATTTCCAACCTTGCAGCAATGTGTAGAGTCTTTTCTCTCATCAATGTGCCACTGATTACTGCACTGCTGCCTTGAGGTTGGTTAAACTATGCAGCCATCAAACTCTACAGGTCTTGAAATGGCAACTGTCAGGTTCTTCCTATGATCAGAGAACCTGCCACATTGTTTGGAACACTTTTTGATGTTTTTCCTCTTTCTAACAATGGTGTTCAATGTTGACACTGCATTCCTTATCTGGCAGCTGATACATGTTTCCTTATTAGCATTCACTTGGGCTAGAATGTCAATTTTTTCTTGAATGTTATTTTGTGTACAACCTTAGGAAGCCTTATATCATCGTGACAAGGGAGAACACCATAGGGAAATATCATTGTTGGAAATAAAGATTTTGATTTTTATATTTTATTGTTGCTGTTCCATAAAAGGAACGTTGTTTACATCATCTGTGTAATTGTCTACAGAGCAAATACTTAGGGATATGATTGGATAATCATGACTGAGAAGTAGGAGTGTGGAACTCATGAAAACAACGTACTTGTTGCAAAGTTGTTGACTGAAGCAAGAAGTAAGAGAGTTTTAGCAGCAACAAGTACAAACAGATTGTTTTAAACCATAGATAGAGATTTTTAATTGGTACATTGTTTTATTATATAATTCTGTAATTGGTTTTATGTTCTTGTTGATTTATTTTAATTACAGATATTGTATATATAACTGACAATATTTATTTTATGATGGCTTGTTGCATATATATATAATGAAATGTATGTCGTTTTGCTGTTACTTATGATACACGTATATTCTGTGACAAGTTCTATATCTTGTGGTCTTGTACCAATGATCGATCTTTGAATGCAATAAATAAATGAAATAAAAAAAGAAAAAAAAAAACACCTAGATCTGTCTCTTTGACATTACTGATCCCAAAGAAGGATAAAACTTCAGCAAATAACTTCACCTATAAAACTTATAAAATTACTCCTTCCTACAACACTTAACTGCATATTACTAAGCAGTTAAAATAAGTATTGAGCATGTTCATTGGAACATGCTCACCATGTCAAGTATTCTCTTTCCTTTTCTATATGTAAACCACAAAATGTACTTATTATCCACACATAATGGATAGATTGTATAATTATTGGAATTAAATAAAAAAAAACTCCTTCCTTTCCAGAATACATTTACACAGAGTTTTAGAACAACAGAAGAAGAATATTATACAGAGAAGCAGAGTGAAGCAAAAAGAGATTTTCATACCTTTGGAAATCTTGATTCCTCATCAATTAAAGACATAATATTGATGGGCTTTATCCCAATGAGGTCCAAAATATCTTGATTGTCAACAAATGACATGTGTTGCCAGCTGATGCCCTCACGTGTGTATTCATCCTGTTCCAGCTTGAAAATATGCTGAACAAAGAACTGCTGCAAGTTCTCATTGGCAAAGTTGATGCACAACTGCTCAAAACTGGTAAGGACAGAAGTATACTTTGTAATCAAGTACATGGCTAAAATAAACTAGTTTATATAATTCACTTTCAATTAATATTGTGATCTGTATGAAAAGTACTCATTACATAACTAACTATTCATTTATTAACTTTCAGTCAATTAAACAGTAAACATAATGTTCCACTTCTTAACAAATTTAAACCAATACAAATAACTAATAAATAAAATATCACTACTTTGATCTTAAAAAAAATAACAATGTCATTCAAAAATGTCTGATATATGGTTGTCTGAAATACATAAAATTTGTTCTAATTGAAAAACTTTGTGAATATCAAAAGGGATATTTACTAGTGATGTCAGTATTTAGGAGTTTAGTTTGATCTATACTGAATTTTAACCAAATCTGAATCTATCCTTATTCAGACTGTGGTTTTCTAGAATATGACATCATATGCAGATGGTTACACACAAAACTGCATGGTGTCATAACGTGGCAGATCACAGTTGAAATGAAAGATGTGTTCAGATTTGGATAAATTCAACACAAATTGAATTAAATTCTTAACTTCAATGATCAAAATCCCTTCCAACATTCACATAATTCTTCAACTATTATAAAGAAAAAAGCGTTCATTTCAGAGAGCAACATTTCAGAATTTATTCTTATAAATTTAAAAGAGACACATGACATATCTGAAAGGTACTGTTAATTTTTTAAGATAATATTTTATAAAAGAAAAAGTTCTATGGCATGCAAAACTAGTAAACAAAAATTCAGTCAGGGAAACATTCCCCCCCCCCAGCACTACAGCCCCAGTGGGCCTAGGCCTACCTCCATGAACTTCTCCGTTCACTAGGGAAACATTAGCTTCTGATAAAATCCTTTATTAGTCACAGCGTATATCTTTACATGATTAAGCAGTTTCTTCCCAGGCTACATGCACTAATTAATTTTGGATTATGAAAATAATGATAAACAAACAAATAAATCATTAAAATGCAATCCAATACTAAAATTCATAGCTTTATTATAGAGGTGAAGTGTGCTGCCTTAATTCATCGAAATTCTCAGTTTAATTTAATTTAACTTAAAAATAACCATCTGTCACAATATACCATACATTTTTTTTTTTTGGGGGGGGGTGAATTCTCTCTTCTGATTTCAAATATGAACATGCTCATAACCACAATCTAAGCAAGTAAAGGAAATAAGTAACCTTTTCACCATTATGAATATGCTGAAAAGCATGCTGTACATCACAAATGGATAAAAATCTGTCAAATGTATAGCTCTGTAACAATGATTTCTTTTGGAGAACTTCCACAGCAAAAACAGAAGTTCTCATACGAACTTCTACAGTCAACATTTCTTCAAATGCTTTGATGAGTATGATGAGAAAAGTAGAAACTATAAATTAATAATTATAGTATTTCATGTGGTAGTGTAGTTGGTCGAGGCACTATGCTACAAGCCGGAAGGTCACAGAATCGAATCCCAATGAGGTCATTGGATTTTTTCAATTTACCTAATCCTTCCAGCCACACTACGGCCCTGAGGTCGACTCAGCCTCTAACATAAATGAGTACCAGGAATATTCTTGGAATGTTCTTGGGGGTAAAGGGTGGCCAGCGCACAGGGCTGACAACCTTACCACCATCTATGAGACAATTGTCTGGAAAATGTAGGAACCAGACATCTCACAACCCTATGGGCCTCCATGGTCTGTTACAGGAATACCTTTACTTTACTTTACTGTACTATTTCATGAAACATTTATATACAAAATATCTACAAGTACAAAATCTGATTAGTTCTGTACTCTTGACATGTAATAGTTAAGATAGACAAAGTTTAGTATAGAATTTGTAGGTATGTTTGATCTATGAGTATCTCCATGTAAAATTTCATATGCCTAGCTCTAATACTTTAGTTATAACTGGCATACTGAAAATAGACTTCTGTGTGGCTGCAATGATGGTTTACACTCCAAAAGCACCTCAATGAAAGTTGCACAGTTTTTAAAGTCAAATATCCACAAACAATTTCCAGACCCAGTATTAAATGGTGCTAATTTTGCTCCCATCCTGGAAGATCACACAACTGCTATGTTGATATTACTGATGACAGGAGGAAGTGCAAAGTATAGAGATGTGGTGGCCTCTAGCGGCATGATGTTCATATCAAACTTCATGAATTTTGTGTCTTTATTTACTATTTATTTAATAAAACTATCAGTAGTTCAGGCGATATAGCACTGAATGGTAGGACGACTAACAAATAATGAATCTGGAAAGGATACAGAAAGAAGCAGTCGTGGCTTAATTAAATATACTATCATGGAGGGACTGAGAAAAAATCATGAAAAAAAACATCAGTCAAGACAGAAAGTGTCTTGGCTAATTTTAGAACTTGGTACCTCCATTATATAAAACATCTCACTATGATGTTCTATCAAGTGTCTTAAAACTCCATCAATTGGTTTAAAAGTAATTAAGCACAGAAAGGGACATGCATATAAACTTAAACATACACCCTACACCTGCTTAAGGACAATATATAAATGTGGCCTTTTAAAGACAACTGTTAATGAGTAAGACAATATTACACAATTACAGGTTTGTAAATCAAAGGTGCTAAGGATACACAAACCTGTTGGTGTCAAAATTTTCAAATCCAAAAATATCCAGAACGCCAATCGAATTCTTTGTTTTTGCTTTGGGTTTGAAGATGGTACTATTGATTTTTTCTACAATCATAATGAAGAGCTGACCATAAATTCCCTTCACAAATGCATCTCGAACTTCAACAGCTTGTTCTACAGATAGGTTAGATACCTACAGAACAAAGACAGAGACCACAGGTAATGGTTTAATGTGCTTACAACCACTGATTCTAAGTCAAAGATATGCCATGTCCAATACAGCAAAACACAGTAGAAGTAAGGACAATTAATAGCATGAGTAAAGTACATAAATGCATTATGCACAATAATCCTTTCTTTAAAGTGTTGTCTCTGTATTGTTAGATACTCAAAGTAAAAAAGAAACACACTGTTTAAGTTCTCAGATTTGAATTTAAGAACAAAAGTCAGTGATAATTTTTTGAATGCATTATAATTACTACGTTAACATTCATTCAATTCTGCCATAAAATTAATAAACTGGGGAGAGGTAAATGTTAATAAATATTCTCTAAATTTTATATATCTGCAGTGCAAAAATATTTAATAGAAAATTCATGGGGTATATTCTTCCTTATGATCCAAGAATGTTCAATTTTTAACAACTTACCACTTTCTCTCCATGTGCAAAAATTGTCTTTCTTGTAAGGGCATCAACAAGTAGGTCTTTGGAAACCCCCACAATAGCTGCAACTTTCTGAACTTGTGAATGGTCAGGAATTTCTGCAGCATCAATATTTGCTACCAAACGAATACAAACATAGGTTACTGTCAGTTTGGTGCTTTCCTACTTATGTTTGTCATAAACTTCTGAATTAGTCAGTCATATTAGGTCCAAGAATGTAACAACCACTTCTTACATTGCATCAGCAAATGCATTCCCAAAATTTTATCTTTGTTTGAGGTGCTGGAAGGCAAAAGGCAGGCTATTAAATCTACATTTGACACACAGGAAGTCACAAAGTCTGCCCTTCCCTACATGCAGCCACAACAATATAACAAATCTAACTCCATGTTACATGGGTCCCTTGTTAACATGCAATCGCACATCAGGTTGTGGGTAAAGGAGATGGCCTCCAGATATCGGAAAGTTCCCAAACTAGGTAAAAAAAAAAAAGAAACGTGGGCTTAACTTACTCAATTTTGGCTGCAATCTCCTTCAAAATAGTCTCCTTGGGAACATATATAGCAATTCCATATTTTTTTCCATGCTTCAAAAGCACAGTGGAAGTCATTTTCCTTAATGCTGTCGAGTACCACTTACAATTCCCGTTGGATGTCAGACACTGTTTCAAAACACCGTACATTCAGTTTCATTTCAATTTTGGAAAGAAAGCAAAATCACAGGGGACTAAGTCCGGTGAGTAGGGAGGATGGGGAATGATAACCATGTTGTTCTTAGNTTTTGGCTGCAATCTCCTTCAAAATAGTCTCCTTGGGAACATATATAGCAATTCCATATTTTTTTCCATGCTTCAAAAGCACAGTGGAAGTCATTTTCCTTAATGCTGTCGAGTACCACTTACAATTCCCGTTGGATGTCAGACACTGTTTCAAAACACCGTACATTCAGTTTCATTTCAATTTTGGAAAGAAAGCAAAATCACAGGGGACCAAGTCCGGTGAGTAGGGAGGATGGGGAATGATAAACATATTGTTCTTAATCACAAACTCTGTTGTTTTCGGTGAAGTGTGGGCAGGCATGTTGTCATGATGAAGGAGCCAGTTGTGGTTGTGCAAAAGTCCCGGTCTTTTTCATCGCACATTTTCTCCCAAACATCTCAAAATGTCATAGTACAAGTAAAAGTCAGAGTTGACTGTAATGTTAGGAGGAACAAAGTCACGGTTAACAATCCCCATCACGCCAAAAAAAAAAAAATGAGCACACTCTTTGTTAAACTCTGAATATGCCGCACATTTTTTGCTTGGTGATTTGGGTTTCTCCACTGCAATGATTGTTGCTTTGTTTCTGGATCATAACTGTAAATCAAATTTTCACCACCCATTATGATTCTAGAGATAAAAGTTGGGTCCTCCTTAACCTTCTCTCGCAGCTCAAGACACAAGTTCACGTGCCGCTGCTTTTGATCATATGTCAAGAGTTGGGGAACAAACATTGCAGCAATGTGACGCACGTTCAAATTTTCTCCTGGAAAACTTCATAACTGATCCCAGTGTTGTCTGCGAGCTCATAGATTGTTTGGCAATGGTATTCATAAGATGAGTTCTCAAATTTTTTCAACATTTTCTGTCATTCTGGTGGTGCTTGGTCACCCTGAATGTTCACCATCTTCAACTGACACTTGACCAACCTTGAAACGTGAATGCCATTTAAACACTGCTGTCCAGCTTGAAGAATGTTCTCCAGAAGCCTCAAGAAGCATTTCAAGGGTTTCAGTAGCGGATTTACCAAGCTTCACGCAAAACATGATGTAGACACATTGCTTGATTTTGCCATCCATCACAGATAAAATGAAACAAAGTCAAAAAAGCACTTGTGTAAAAACGATGCATGTTCGCAGCACAGTGTCATGTGGTGGACTAATGCGATAGGCTTGCAGAAGTGTGATCTTGGTGTCCCCTCTCATCTTCTTTCACCAAGGCACTTACAACAATAACAGTCCAGGAACTTTCCAATAACACCGTGTATAGAGTGTAATAGGAAATACAAAGAATAAGCAGAAGTAGACAGACAAAAAGGGGTGAGCCCTCAACTTGAGGATTGTCAGGGGACCTAACAACTCACCATAAAACATCAGCATGTCATGAAATGTTATATACTGCTTCAAACTTGGACAGACTGTCTGGAACGATGTGAACAATGGAAAATTAACATGAGATTTGGAACTTGGAAAGCCAGAAGTCTCTATAGATCAGGTCCACTAAATACAGTAGCAAATAACTAACAAAGTACAAGATTAGGTAACAGAACAGATCAAATGGGACAAAGCGGTACTGCAGATAATTCTTGGTTTTTATTTTCTGGTGGTGGGGAAATGATAGTCATTATTTATGGACAGGCTTTCTTGTACATAAGGCAGTTAACACAGTAGAGCAGGACCTGAAAAGGATCTATGGAATTTAAAGTGAAAGTGAAAGTGAAATGGTTATCTGCTTGCAGATTCACAAAATATTTTGACTGGATGGAAGAATTACTTCTGTCAACTGCTGAATGAACATGGAGTCAACAATGTTTGGTAGACTGAAATATAAACTGCTGAGCTATTAGTACGTCAGCTATTACCTCTGAGTTTTGTGACTGAAAAGCAGATGGGGTATAAATTGAAATGTACTAATCAGATTCTGACAACTGATTCAAGGAGGACATAAAATATTACATTCTGAGATCCACAAATTCACTAAGTCTGTTTGAAATAAGGAAGAAGTATAACATCAGTTTCAAGGAGTCTATAATTATACCTACTTACAAAGAGGGTCATATAATTGACTTCAGTAATTAACACAGAATATCACTGTTATCAAATACACACAAATTTCATACAACATTCCTGTCTCTAAGTTAACTCCATAAGTAAAGGAAACACAGGAGTACCATGGATTTTGACAAAATAAATCAATTACTGACTGCATACTCTGCATTGGTTAGACACGGATAAAAAATGGGGCTACAATGGAACAGAACATGAGCTATTTATGGACTTCAAGAAAGCCTACAGTTCATGTAGGGATAAGTTATTGTACAACATTCTCATTTGATACATGAATGAAACTAGTCAGACTAATAAAAATAGGTTTAAATGAAACCTATAGTAAAGTTGATAAAGGTAAACATTTTTACAATGCACTTCCTATTCAGAATGGTCTGAAACAACACACTTTTTGCCACTTCTTTTCAACTATGATGCTGAACACCCCAGTAGCGAAGTTTGAAAAAACCATAAGGAATCAGATTTGAATGGGACCTATCAGATTTTGATCTATGGTGTGTAAATTTACTGAGCAAAAACGGAAAAACCAAAATAAGAGAAAAATAAGAATATGATCATGTCTCATCAAATAAGGCTGGGCAAAATCATAAAATAAAGATAGTAAACCATCTGAGAATGTACCGAAGTTTAAATGTTTGTGAATGAAAATAATAGATAAAAATGATATTCATACATAAAATTAAAAGTAGATTAAATTCACAGCATGCTTGCTAGCACTCAGTTCAGAATCTCTGTCCTGTCTGCCATCTAGAAATATAAATACAGTATTAAAATGTATAAAATAATAAAGTTTACCCATCGTTTTTAGGGGTGTAAAACTTGGCCCCTTTCATTAAGAACACAAATTAAAAGTGGCAGAGATCAGGGTGTTGGTATAACTGATAATGTATATATGTTAATAAAATCATATCTCCAATATCAGTATCAGAAGGTGAAAGTTAGAAATGGACCTAATGATAAAAGTGAATCTGACTGGGGTCTGGTCAAACAGGGCATTCCTCAGGGGTCCAT